TCTTGCTGGCCAGACGCAGATAAGGTTAAAACACATTGCTGTTGAAAGCAGTATAGCAGAACATTTCTGAAAAAGCATCCCAAAATGCACCTAGTTTGGTTAGCATGGTGCCAGGATAAGAAGAGAACGAATCCTTTTTTATACATCTCAGAAAGTTAATTTAAAACGATCTCATGAGGTGAAATGCCAAGATATTAATACCGATTGCACCATGACACCATATTATAAGTGACATAAACGTTACAAAACAATCTGAAATTTGGCCAGGCTGTTAATAGACAGCATTACACAATTCCTGACACAGCCAGATAATACTGCATTTCTACTATGCAAATTTTTAACAGTGAATAGATTTTGAAAGGAGTTTACACCCACTACTCCTCCGATGCAACTTGGTAATTCGCTATTAGGTGCCAAGCTGTCATTTACAAGTCACTTCAGCCTACTGCTATTCTCTAGTCTACCTCGTTATCACAAAGGAGCCACCAATGAATGCCATTTGATTAAAATGTATGAGCCCTATATGAACCTATTTTTAAGTCTGTAAACTAATACTGCTGTTGTATTAATAGTTTTTATTTATTCTGCCATTAATACTGGTCTTCTACTAAGCAAATACTGTCATTCCCTACCCTTTCATATTTCAGGAGCAAAACTCTGTTCTTAAAATATTTTTATCCATATTACAAAGTCATTACACTGTGGGAATCTATCAGAAATCTTGCTTAGAAAAAGGAAGGGACAAGAGGCGTGGAGCTGGTACTTAGGGCCTGACTCACCTTATTTAAGCACGTTTTGCTTTAGCTACACGAATATTTAAGCGTGTATGGTTTTTCAGAGGTACCAGTGGTGGAAACAGAGAATTGACCACCCCCCCCAACACAGAGACAATCACACTTTGATGACAGTGCCTCCCACGCTGCCGTCGTCCACCCTTCTCCTCCCAGCTTCACAGCACAGACACCGTGAGAGGAAACAGCTCAGGGGCCTGACCCGGCTGAACAACCAATACTACTTTTTCTTCTTGAGCTGTCCTTCCCCGGTTATTGTGTTTCAGCCAGACCACTCCTCTGGTTACAGCAGTTGGTGATCTGTTTGTGCCAGAGGGCACAACACACAGGACAACCGAGCAGGAGCACGGAAAGCTGCAGGTGCAGCAATGACACCACAAAAATGAGTGCTAGACAGCACCAGCTCCTGCTTGTGGAACCTTCCCACCAGAACATGCTTCGGGTTTGTTGGCAGAACAACATAAAGAAAATCTGTAAAGAATATCTTATGTGATTTTGCTTCTCCCTCTCACAAACACAAAAATCTCAGCATACCAACCCTACAAGGATGCCCTGCCGTCCTTAAAAAATTCCAAGAAATGCTTAAACTCCAAAAGAATTAACTTATTTGTCTTCAAAATGCTTTAAATACCAGTGCCAGGCAAAGGTTGTAATCTCCCTCTAGCTTGCACATTGTGCTGAATATCTCTGAATGATGGAAAGGAAAACTCAGAGGACCGCACGATGCAAAAAACAGAAACCTGCTCAACACCTACTCCAACATACAACTCCTCTCCAAAATGACTGAAAAATTAGTGGTGTCAAATCAGAAAATTACCAGGAGACAAAAAATTGGGACATAGATTAGCCACACTATTCCTATACACAGAAACTGAAAATAGAGAAACACAGTTTTGCTTCAAAAGATTGAGGACTGCTCCTGTCTGCACCAGCAGCCCATCTTCCAGAGACCTCATTAAGAACTGAGCTTTTTACACTGGTGTCCTCTTAAGACCACTATTTTGTCTAACTTGCTCTGCTCGTGTGTGTGTGTGTGTGTCTGCCCATGCACATACATCCCATGCTCAGTAGAATGGACCTTAGAGCCACTAAGTGTGAATTAATAGTAGATACGAGCCCTGAATAGGACCCAAACTGCTTCTCAGTAGGAATTTCAGAGACGGAAAAAAAGGATGCATAATTCTGCTTGCAAAACTGTCAAGTACAGAAACATGAAAGGCTGTAAATAATTCACTCTACATTACAGGAAATGTTTTACAAATGAAAAGGTTGTAACCTCTTTTTGGCTACAAGGCTGGCAGATGCTGGAGGCATTTCTGCTTCTCTAAGTGCAGAACAAGATGTGCCCTGTTTATGAGAAACTAGCAGGGATTCTTGATTCTCAGCCCTCCCTGGTACTGCTCAATGAAAAATGCTTCTGCCTACATTTCTGATGGATGGATCACAAAGGAGTGAAGCCTCCACACTTCTAGAAATGCAACTCAGGCTGACTAGCAATTTCTTGTATGCTGATGACACAGCTGCTGCAATGCACAATGCAGAGCTAAGATAACATGAAGAAAACGGATAAATTTGAATTATTTATATTTACATAAATACATTCACACGACTGTTTAAAGATACACACACACAAGCTAAAAATATGCATGCAGTTATTACAGATGGCTCAGTAATGAATGTTTGATGCAGTCTTAAAACAGTGACATCGGACCAATCCAGTGGAAATAAACTCATCTCCAACCCCAAAGGGGTGGCCACATGACTGAGGACAGATTCTGGCCCAGTACACGGAAGCAATTCCAAATAGAGAGACCCTATTGCTCTAACTTCTTAGCGCTAAACATTTTGCAACAAACTAAACAAACCTTAGTGGAGGTCCCTCTACCACCTCTCCCAGCAGGTTAGCTGGCAGCCAAACACAATGATGTCTTGTGTATAAAAGAAATCTGAAACTCACCTGTATGTTGCCAAAGTCCACGTTTTCGTAATGGAAATGTGCACATTCAGCCATCTTCGGGAAATGACCCTTTGTAAAGGATAACCTGAAGCACATCAAAAGCACACCATAAGAGAGATGCAAATCACTAAACAATGCTCAGCATCAAGTACTGTTATAAAATGCAGTTACTGATATAAAGTAATGACGACTTTCTCATCCTAAAGCCAAGGGAACAGAGGGGTTTGTTGATGTGATGCACCAAACCAGCGGAGAAAGGAATTGAGTGAGAAAGGAAAACTAAATTGCAAAGTGGCTTTTATCATTGCGTCCTTAAAGAATAGTGTGGCATTTCATCGACACCAAAGCCCACATCTTTAAGAAATGGTGCAGGGACAAGCCGCTCTACCTTTACAAATGCATTTTTGCAGTGCAGATAAACAGCCTTACACGAGACACATAGGAAAGTAGAACTTTACCTGTGAAAGGCATCACAGCCCATCAGTCCCGGGTTGATGTATCTGAGGGTGCAGAACAAACGCTATTTATCCTTTGCCTTTTTAAAATTCAAAAGTGAGGCATAATTATTCCCAAGTGTCTCCAGCTACAATGATGGCTGACGGGGAGATCCTCTGGCTCTGCAACACGCTCTTGCTTCTGCTGAAGCTATTATAGACTCCTATAGATATTTCTGGTGGTGAGCCAATGAGATTGTCATTATCTAGCTCTCTCTTCCCACGGGAATATAAGTGGGAAGTGAGATGCAGCATCTGGCTGCTCAGCACTAGAACAAAGAGCCATTTCCCTTACAGCAGCAGAGCACTACGGAGAGGTGATCTTAATACACAGATCAATCAGTATTGGGGAGTTCTAGCCCTCAAGTCAGCATTCTTAGCAAAGACGAGTCAAGTAATATTGATTACTTTTGATCCCCTTTGCAGGTTAGAGGCTTGAAACCTTAGCTGCAAGCCTTATAAGTTAGTTTACATTCTCTGGGAGAGAATGAGAGAGAGAGAGGGAGAAAGAGAGGGTAAGCCCACCGAAAAAAAAATAATCTGGGAGATCAGGGAAGAAAAAAATGCCCCTAAAAAAAGAAAAATTGTGCAAAACCCATTCAAATGAGGAGGTACAGGGCAGAATGCAAAAAAAGGAAAAGAGAAAAAATATCAAATAAAAAATATATCTAGGCCACCCACTTGTCCTGGTTTAGCTTCCCAGAGCATAGGGAGACAGGGAAAATTCTCTCATTTATACATTGCCTGGGCTTCTCTTTAGGTTTTTTTTTGTGTGTGTATATATATATATATGAGTTGGGGTTTTTTTGGGTTTTTTTTAATTAAACCGTTTCAGGAAGAAATCGCAAAAATTTAAAAATACGGTAACCCTGAGGTTCAAAACTCTAACAAGCTTTGCTTCTATGGCCAGAAACAGGTGAGAGACCCAACAAAACCTCTGCCCCCAGTATTAGACTACATTAGCTATAATTTACTTTGTTTCGCCTGGATTTTGGTTGCTCAGATGAAGAGACTATCAAAAATTGTTGCCGAATGCCCTAGCTGTATTGCAGCACAACAGCTAAAATCCGGGATATCAAAACTAGAAGCCCAACAAAGACAGGAAAATCAAAGAACACTGCTCTTACTTTTTTACATTCTTCACTTTCATACTTGCTGTGCTGCCACAGGTCCGGAGCGGCAACTCCCCTGGAATGTCAGGGATATCTGCACCTCTTGCCTGCAAAAAAGAAGAAAGAAAAAGCAAGGAACTTAGAATTTGACTGCATCCTATGTACTACCGCCTGCTAAGCAGTAGCCCATATATTTTTACATATACATACAAACACAGCTCAAATCTCATATGTGCTAGAAGCTGTACTTCTGCCTTTTTAACAAAGAAAACTGAACCTCAGGATTACGATCTAGTGTGTGATTATCTCTTCCTGAACCATGTTGCAGAGCCTTGCTGATTCTTGGTAATAACTGCGAGATCCAGTATTTTATTCATTACTACTTCTGGTTTCTAAAGAAGAGATTTTCAGAGGTAGGAGTCTAACATACATTCCTAAACTCCATACTTAAGATCCTCATTAAGTACCTGATTTTCCAAACATTTATGCACTTAGATTCAGGCAGAGGCACCAGAAGAAGCTGGATAGCTCATACAGTGGAAAATCAAGTTAATGACAGAGCTGCTTATACGTAGGTGAGCTTTTAAAAAAGATGTTTGAAGCTATTGGTGTAAGTGCATGAACATATTAAAATTCCTTATTCACTAAAATTAATTTACTTTAGTGAGGCCACAACTCCAAACTCCCTCTTTTCATTTGTTCTGTCATGCTTTCCCATCCTCTCCTTCCTCCAGCTGCTTTTTCATAAGCCGTGAGCTCTGCTGGGGTAGCATTCACCATCACAGGGGACTCTGAAACACTCAGTACCACGTGTTTCTCTTGCTGTGCTGTACCAGGCCCTAAGCTCTAGAGGAATGAGGGGGTTTAGGTGAGGCTTTTATGAAGGGAGCAGTGATCAAACAAGAAGATCAGCACAGACTTCATAGAGCAGGAGGACAAAAATATGGTCCCTGATGTTGGCCAGAGATAGCTCATTAGGGATGTGGGCGAGACCAGCTGAATGAGCTTTTTTTGCTTTATACAATGCACTACAAAACATGAATAATGTCCAAAATAGTGAATGCTCAAGCAAGAGGAAGAGAGGCACTTCAGTATGCCCTCTCTTACAGGCCTGGAACAAAAAATCCATTTTCTAATGACAGCAGTAAACAGACGAGTTCCCTGATCCGGAAGATCAGTACCAATGCTTCTAGGCTGGTCCACCAAAAGATCTCTGAACAGAGACGATCAGTCCCAAAGCTGTTACATTTAACAGAATACAGTTGTAGACTGCAATGTAAAATATGGAAATTACTTGGTCCTCACCCCCAAAACTTTAGAGTCACACAATTACAATTCAAGATAGCAGCCCACATACAGGATGGACAATGGGGGAATCTTTCTTATCCCCCTCCCTGAAGCTCTCATTTTAGCTTGACGCGGGTCAAATTTACATGGGCTTCACCACATCATGAAGAGCTGCAGTAAATAAGTCAAAACCATTCACCATGCCTACATTCATTAACTAACAGCAACAGAGCTAGAGGGAGTGATTGATCTCATTCAACTCCAGGCACGCGTGAGGTACACAGCTACAACTGTGTTATCTACACGAGGCTACTCTTACAGTCACCAGAGATAAACAGGTACTTTGGGTCCGGTTCACCTACTTCAGACAACTAGATTAGGAGAAAAGCAACCACGGGTGCAAGAGTATCTATTTCTCCCTTGATAACAGGGAATCCAGGATGACCCTGGCTCAGATGCAGACATATGTCGTGGACAGCTGCATTCATCCAACCAACATCACTGCGGCTTACGCAGGACTTGAGTAGAGCACGTTCTCTGCGCCCAGACAAATTCCTGTTATTTCCAGCACTGCCCTTGGAAAAGGGATGCTGCAGCTATTATGAGTGAGCTCCCCCCTTTCAACATTACTGAATAAATCTGAAGCCAGGACACTCACTCTCACAGTTGCGCCTTTCACAGCCCTGAACATAAGCAATGCTTTAACTCCATTGTCCCACAGCTGTACAGAACATGCACACCCACTCCGTGAAGAAAAACAAGGACAATATTTATACCCTTAAATAAACCTACCCTTGGCTGACTGACTGTCACTAAACACACTATAACTTCAGTATGTAACAGGACACTTGAGAGTCTCATTGTGAATTTTAACATTAAGAGGATCACCAATTTAATAAACCTTACAGGTCTTTTACATAAGAAAATAACTAATTACAGTAATAAATGTGCCATTCCTGTAAGCTGCTTTTAGGCAAAGCTGGATGTGCTTGCCTTAATTTTCTAAGGAACAGAATTTCTGTAGGAAGAAAAATAATTTTTTTTCTCCATCAGCAGTAGAAGCTGGTGGGCTATAAAAACGGATAAACAGATCTGACAGAAAAACGTGGGCTTCGAGCCAGTTTGCAGCAGTGGGTAGAGACTACCCTGGATCTGACTCAAAGCAGCGTAGGCAAAACTCACACCTCCAGGAGACTTAAATGCCAGCATCTCTCTTTGCAAAAGTTGTGTTATCCTCTTCTTCCCAGTTGAGCTATGTCCAAATCGTGCTGGAAGGAGATACCTGCCCCTCCCGTTTCCAACAGCATGTATCCATTTAAATGGACTACAATGAGATGCAACACAGTAATTAACTTTGGTTGCTTTTCCAATCAGATCTGAGCTCTTCGGACTCTGCTGCAGAATAACAATCTCTCCTAAGTCTCACAGTTGAGGAAAAAGGGCAGAATGGTGATCTTGTGCAAGCTAAAATCTTTAGTATGAGGTACTAACACCAGAAAAAACTTGGTGAATAGATAGATAAGCAAAAAAGAAACTTACTGCAATTTTAGAAACCATATTACTCCAAACTAAACCGCAACTACTTTCCATTTAAACCAAAGATACACAGCTATATAAAAGCACTTTATTCACCACCAGTTTGTACCTGTTCTGATCCAAAACCTGGCATGCAAAATGTCACCCTAGATTACCCTCCTCACAAAAAAAAACCAAACCACTCCAAATGAGATTTGTCATCTTTTGTGCTTTGTGTCACGGTAATTTAATTTTAAAAATAATTTTGAAACAGCTGAATTATTTACATCTGAAAATTAGCTAGCTAGCATCATCAGTTGCTTCTCACTTCCCTATTTTCTATGCATCGCTGTTCTGTGGGAACCTAGTAATTGCATAGCAAATCTGTTTATGCAAATTATTTAGTCCAATTTTCACAGCTTAATGTCACTGCTGCATCAATCTGCTTTGGTCCAAAACTGGGTAAACAAATTAGGACTCGAACCAGACTGCAGTCAATTGACTTTATCAGGATCCTCAGTCCTGCTACGCTTCAGTGGAAGGCTTTTGAGCTGCAACACTTCATCAGTCTCCCCTGAACTAAGAAATTCTCCTACCAAAAGCCCACTAAAGACTACACTTATATTAGTAGCAGTTGGGACAATATTTGAGAACTTCAGTATTTTGTAACAGACACATCGAATACGAGGCAGGTAGATACCACTAAAATGTTTGTTCTAAGCAATTTTGGGAGAATGCCTGTCTGTCTGTCCCACGCCCTGATGGACGGTCATTCCATTTTTAAATCATCACAGCCGTTTGCTCGGTGGGTATCAGAAGGAGCCCTGAAGCACCTACATCACTTGTGCAATTTTCAAGTGTTGCTGCTGAACTCCCTGGGAATCTGAGAGCTCTTACAAATCAGGGTGTCCAGCTTTAAGCATCCAAGTTCGAAATTTCTGGTCTTTATATTTATAGACATGATTTGGAAAACTTCAGCTTTGCGCTCTCTAGCATACAAAACCTTAGTCATAAATGGTTTATCTCTAACAAGTCCAGTGCATAATATGAAAGGATTTTCTTCTAAAAAGTCTCATTGCAGGTATCAGAAAACATGTCAACCCGTCTCCCTCACATCCAGAAACGTAACACAATTTGAAAATACATGTAAAATTGAAGAAAACGGTCCAGTCAACACAATATGACAAAGTTTCCATCATCCTGGTATCCACAACAGGGGGGAATATTGAACCTCTGCAAAACCCACGGTCCTCCTCCTACTACCACAGGCTTACACTGAGATGCACAAGAAGAGAAGAAACAAGCTCCAGCAATCCCATAACTGGTAAACTGGTTTTCCACAACACTACCGTAAAACCCCTGAGGAGGTACCATATACAGGAACAGACACAACACAAGACTTGACAGGTCAGCATGTCCCCAGGCTACTGAATTCAAGTGGGATTTCTGAAGGCAGAAATTTACTCTTATCCAAGGTTAACACAAAGCAAGAATAACTATTAGACAGGCAGTAACATCTATGCATCTTCCTACCATCAGTCTCTCACGAAAACCAGTTTGGAGGGACCAGATTGCTCTGGATTCTTTCAGCACATGGCCTTGTTTCTAAAAATAGCACAGCTGATATAAAATGCTGGTTGGTTTCCATGACAGTCTTTCCTTTACATCACCTTCATTTCCCCTCGATTTTCTTGGAGGGGTGGAAAAAAAAAGAAAGAGGAAAAAAACCACCACAAAACCCCACAGAGCTTTGCAAAAAAGCCAAGCTTTGTTAGAGATTTACTTCTTCACTGAAGAACAGCAGGAAACAGAAACGTTGTTTCAGTAAAAGTTGTTACTCCGTGGTGAGTAATGGTCGACTTAACTTGAGCTAGAGGGTGAACTGAAGCGGCCAGGATACACAGTCCGATACCTGAAGTGGGTGTTTATGCACAAGGGCATCAACAGCTATTCCAAATCTTGGGTACCAGCTAGCTACACAAAGCTGGCTCGGCATCAACTTCTTTGCAGAGCTTATTTTGCAACGTTAAAAAGAAACTGTCCTACAAAATCCCCCGATCTCTATGAGGTAAAAGACAATCACTCCGTTAGCACCGTCCTGCTTTTACCGATTACTGCTCGAGAGTTAGCCTGAAGCACAGTGAAAGAAGAATTATGGTTCATCTCGGCTTCATACTCCACAGCCACTAACATACTCCAGGGAAAGAAAGCTCTCTCTACTCTCACTTTATATGTTCTAACCACCATCCTGGTTCTCCACAATAAATAAATCAACGAAGCAAAGGAAAAATGCTTTCACTAAACT